GCGCGTGTTGCATTTGGGCAAAATTTAACTGGAAAAGTTTTAAAATTGCTAACACCAGCAACAAATAAAATAAATACTGCATCAAAGCAACATCACTTATTATCGTTGCTATGATAAACAACTTCAATTGTGTCATCGACGAAGTAGCGTTCCACCGGGTATTGACATCAGAGTGATTATCACCGCGGATGCATACCTAACTGTCGGTATTATTTACTCGCGACAGTTTCTCGTGTGCTAATGCTCGTGCTTCGTGGGTGTAACATTAGAGCATGCTGACCTGGCAGACTTCTCACACAAATAGATCGTTCGGCGATATTGGGAACGCATAGGCGAGGTGTTTTGGCCATTTAGTAGATGGACGCACGTTATCATATTTGGATCATAATGACAGAATATGGCTGTGTAAACTAAAAAGGTTTTTGTTCTCAAACTCACGTGACGTTTGATATCTTAGCCAAACATCATGTTTATTGACTAGCGACTATATCTTGTGGATAATGCCCGAGCTTCGTGGGTGCAGCATTAGAACAGTGCTGACCCGGGGAGCTTCTCACGCGATTGGCACGGATACCTCGTTGGCCGATATTGGAAACGCATGGGCGAGATCTTTTGTCCATTTTGTTGATGGACGCATATGGGTCTATAATGGCGGAATGTAGTTGTGTGGGCTAAAGAGTTTCCGCTCTCGTAATGATCAACGAATCAGAAGATAAAAATGGGAAACACGTGGTGTGTGATCTCTCTAAGTATATATAGAAAAGCTACTACATCTACTCAACGAAAAATTAATAATAACAACAATATAATTCTCACACTACCAAGTACAGTTTTTATCAATAAATCAGTTACATTTTTATCGTCTTTGTATCTAATATTACTAAACTGAAACAATTCCTTACAATCTACGAGAGTACCGGTTTAATTTGTCACGGCTGCTTCTGTTCTTATATTAATAAGTTACGGTGTACATTCTCACGCTATTACCTTCGGAACAACGTCAGGCATAAAATAAACCAGAATACATCCATTATTCATGTAAATGTTACAATATACTATCCATTACGGTGACATTTTCTATAATGTAACAATTTCGATTAAATTGCTTTCCCGCACGATTCCAGGATGCTCTTATACGTGATTGGTTCCCTTTTTACGTGGTGGACGAAGTCAATTCAATTCTGATAGATTGGTATTCAAATCTATTGACTATTGTGGTACCCCCCTCCCGTAACAAAAGTATAATTTTGGCTTAGCACGAGAGGTTAACGGGACTATTAGTAATTTGGGCAATAGTATGAAAATCGTACTGACTTATTTATTTTAACTCAAAATTATCAAAAAACTGAGTCTCTTCGAAAGGTATAATTTAATTTTAACTGTGTTCTGCTTTTAGGGAAATGTTATTAACATTTCTACCCATTGTAGGGCTAGGGTCTGCTTCACTCTCGCGTGGGTTTGTAATGGTCACTATCTCTATATTGGTCAATTCAATCTCCTCATGTACTGTTACAATTCTCACGCAATTCAATTTTAACTTTTCTGCATATTCAATTGAAATACTGCACTTAACAACTTGATCATTATTTAGAATCTCAATAATTACTTTTTATATTGAAAGTCATTGTTGCAAAAATGATACTAAGCTTTATTTTATACCTAACGTTGTACCGTTATGTTGGTGTCAAAAAAAACTACTGTCTCTTATGATCATGGTACCATTTCCTGATGAAAATATCTAATTTTTAATTTTCACATCACTATATTTCATTCGTGGGAACTTCCGCATCAATTAAAATAATTTCTCTGAACGTTGCATTAATTTAGTGATACTGAAAGATCCATTAGTGTTGTACGAGTATAGATACCGAAAGATTTGAATCGATGATTGAGTGATGTCGTTAATGTATCCGGCATTAATAATATTCAGTACTAACAGATGCAATATCACTGTGAAAAGCTGTGAACTGATTGATTATCATTGGATCTCATAGAGTTTTGCTCAGTATTCATACCTGAAGGGAACGGAACTGAGACTCCTGATTACAGTAAATGATTGAAAACCGACCCTGCCTAAAGCCTTAATATTAGACGATTTAGAGATATTGGCTATTTCTGTCACTCTAATTCTCTTCTGGCAGGTTAAAATGACAACTCAGTACGGTCAAATAGTTCGTGACATTCAAAGTCGCAACACGTTTTTTTTACAATTGAAATAAGGTTGTCAAATTGACCACATTGGGTGTCACGAACTTTGACGCTGACTGCACCTAAAACCATTTTGCAAAGTTAACCTACTTACTCTTGCTTGAACTTGAATTGAATTTTGAGCCTACTAAACGGAGCTAAGTATCGATATGACTGCGCCAATTCAGCAATGCTATTAATGTTCTATCGTTTTAACGCTTCATCTGTTTTGCTTCCGCCATTAAACATAATGCAGACCCGTTGCACGGTGCCCATAAGGTAGGGTTGCCAGGTCCAAAATCACAGGTCAAAAGCCGGACTCGGTGCTTAACCGGACACTTAATCCTAAAAGCCGAACATATCTTTTTGTATCTGTGCAATTAGTATCATACTTCATGACTACAACTATCATCTTCGTATCGGTAGCCCAACATCAAATGCCCATGTGTGATCGATATTATTCTGTGGCTCGACTTTCGACTGGCGCGTAACAAAAGCCGGACAGGTCGGACAAGAGAATAATAATATTTGACCGGACAAGCCCGTAAAAAGCCAAATATGTCCGGCTATAGCCGGACACCTGGCAACCCTATACGGAGGCCATAAATATCGCGATGCATCGCTCGGTTTCGCTAGCGGTCTTCAGACAAAGAGCCTCTGTAGAAAGCCGGCCGGTGGTTTGATGAAGGTCATGGTGATATACAGGGTGAGGCTTGAAAGAAGAGGAATCGCTAAATTAAAATCACAAGCCTGATAGTGGATACTTTAAGCATACCTCAGGAAATGTTTATTCCAGCTAATATTTATTTTCATTTGACCTCCGTGTCTGTTTGTAGAACATCAAACCTAATTTTCGTTAACTGGTATATTACTTGTAATTGTGTATTACCTAACGAAAGAGACAATCGGTCTTATTCATAATAAAATGCTNCGCGAGCTAATATGGCGGCGGCCGTACGAACTGTCACAGCGCCTACAAAAATCACTTTCCTATGTATTACTTTTCTCTATGATCACTATGAGGGCTACGTGAATATTCACGATTCCCAATAGGACTACGACGCGGAGTGCGTACACATCGCCTAGGTGACCTACCTCAATACTCAAAACTCAATCGATGCACACGTTCATTTAACGGCGGCATTCGATATTCGAACAAACCCGACGTTTAACTAACTTTTATCACGACACTGTTTATGAGAATAATCACGTTCTTTTTTTAATCTAGACGAACGCCTGGTCATCTTAACTTTGAACACTGCACTGATAATCACAAACTAAGGCAAAAATAGATGGCAAAAACGGTTAGAACGCGTGGTCAATCCCACTTCTGATCTTAAAGATCAGAGGTGAGAGTGCTTTTTTAAAAGTAATGAGCGGCACCAGCAAATATCGATTTATTAAATAACCGAAACACTAATTCCACAAATCAAATGAACGTAATAAAGAAATATGTCTATGCCAGAAATAATGATCTAGGTCACAAATATCACAATCCCTGAACCGAGAGAACGTCCGTCACAGCCAAGCGCTCGAGCAAAGTGTCGCGGTGCGCGGGGCGGCCGGTTTCTCGTGCCTTCCCTCTCTAAGACAGAGACAACAGGATCGAACGATATGACGTCACGCTGACGTAGCGGGTGTTATTTCTAAGACCATTTTATAGATATGGTGGGTAATACCTAGGTATTTATAATTCAAAATCTCTGGATGTTTTACAAGCAATAAAATTGTCAAGTAAGTTTAAATAGTAATGTCGAAATCATGGTCTACTTGGTTTCTTACCTTGGTTTATCCCATTTTATAGATATGGTGGGTAATACCTACCTAGGTATTTATAATTCAAAATCTCTGGATGTTTTACAAGCAATAAAATTGTTAAGTAACTTTAAATAATACTTTCGAAATCATGGTCTATTTGGTTTCTTACAGTCATAAAAGATCCCAAAAGTTACTTCTAGTTAGAGCTAGAAATCAAATACCTAATCGGCATCTTTCGAGAAAGCCAGCAGTGGCAACCGTTGGAGAAAAAAGGTTACCACGATCAAGAACCTTCCACCCCCTGGATGCTGCATGCAAACAAATAAGAATTATGTAACTAGAATTAAATACCTGTAAATATGTATTTGTGTTGGGTAATAAGGCTTATTAGATAAGTAAAAGATGCTGATACTGAGTGCTGAGGCAAAAACAGATTTACCTCACCGTAATACCCAAGATAACATTAATAATAACAGAAAACTGTTATCAGTTTCTTCTGCCAAGAGACATACAAAATGCATTTTGTGCAACTAGGTTAATTCATAGTTCGTTATATGGTTATTTTGTTTTTATTAATTAAGCACATAGAATACAGGTAAGTAGGCTAGGTTAGGTAGGTTCGTTCGTTTCAGCCAAGTGACGTCCACAGTTGGACAAAGGCCTCCCCCAAGGATTTTTACACAGACGACAGAAAATAATTTTAAAACTAGGAAATGTAAGAAGATTTCACAAGAGTTTAAGGCTGAGTTGCATCATCGAATTTTAATCGTGACTATAACAGATATTTTTGTATGGACTTTTGACGTTAGTTTAAGTAAAAGTAAGATGGTGCAATCCAGCCTAAATATTATAATAATAAGTTCACTTCATGTTAATCCATGAGTTTCCAAGAGGAGCCAAACCACCTTTTGCTCGTGCGTTTCCTTAAGAATGTTATAATATCGGATCAGGCGGTTGTAAAAATCTAAGCCACAGTGAGAATTTAGATAATATGTCTTCTATAGCAAAACCTTGGCTGTACCTGTTATCAGACAAACGCAAACGCTTATCGCCACGATAACACTGCCAACTTATTGGTGTACATCTGTGGGTGCTTGTCGTGTTGGTGAAAAAAAATATTCTTTTGTGTATTGTGCAAGTTGTAATTTGGTAAACATGCAGTCCCACCAAGGACGTAAGTTGATTTTTTTATAATATTTAGGCGTTTTGGAATACTGGAATTATTCCTGTAATCATAAAGAGAAGGCTGGATAACTAACATCCTTTCTGATAGGCGATAACGCATTATTCATCGTGAATAGTCTTTCGAGTCTACTGCACTATCCTTTCCCATAGAAAGTCAAATGAGACTTGACTCTTGACTTTGTGAACATTTAGGGTGGGTTGCACCATCTTACTTTAACTTTGACAATCGTCAAAAATCTGTCAAATTCTATACAAAAAAACACCGGTTATCGTCATAATTAACGTCAAAGTTAGGTGGTGCAACCAGCCTTAGTTATTGATCGCTCCTTGTTTACATACACCAACCTACCTACCTATTATAGAACCCATAAGGACACCATTTACTCATACTTCACCTCTCGTTAGTTACTGAAACGTAAATAAATCGATTAGTTAAACAAAATCAATACGTTGATATTTTTAGGATCGTATTAGTTTATTCAGACAAAGAAATGAAATCGAGATCTTATTCGACGATACCACAAAGTACTTGTGACGATACGCTACGATATTATAATTAATGTTTTTTTTTAACTTTTTTGTAAGGTTCTGTGTAGTAGAATAATAATAAACATTGCTAATTCTCATGTAGTGAACACTCATTCAAATGCTGACGACTTATTACATCATTTCGTTACATTGTGTTTATCTTCTTATAAAAAACGTGCTAAACAATAATCAGTAGGTACTCGTTGGATTTCAGAAATCATATTTTAATAGAACTTTATCATTATTATCTTGAAGAAAACAGAGATAAGTGTGTTTTCTGCCAATTTAATCTCTCTGAAAAAATTGTGCTTGATCGTTTTAATTATTTACTTATTATTTATTTTTATGTGGAAAGAAATTATCTGAAAATGAATAGGTATGTATTAAACGCTTCATTTCTAAGGCCATGTATCATTAACTTGTGCAGTGTAGGTACCTACTGTGCACCTATGAGATATTTAGTAATTTAATGTTATAACTTTGCCTAACTAGAAAGTAATTGGAGGACACTTAGCTATAATGCTGACTGACTGTTCTGCGAGAAAATATGTATTATACAAAAATTGTGTAATGAGGATGATGGGGTACATCTCTACTTGAATATTATACGAAAGTAACTCTGTGTCTCTTACTCTTTCACGCATAAACCACTGAATTTATTTTGATGAAATTTGATATCGTGAATAGTTTGAGCCCCGGATAAGTATATAGCAGGGGTGGCCAACTTGATTAGACATAAGATCTAGGTGCTGTTTACTAACGAAACCCTCGGCGATCTAATACTTACATACTTCTTGAAATCTTAAATGGAACAGCATAGTTTAGTACACAATCATGTATAGTATTTTTTGCCTTCCCACGATCGACTGGTGGACTTCGTCCGGTTGGCCACCCCTGGTATATAGGATACTTTTTATCCCGGTTTTGAAACGGAAACGCACGCGCTAAATTTTTTCTGTGACTGACAAAATTTCACGCGGGCGAAGCTGCGGGCAAAAGCTAGTTTACGACAATTATTTACTTAAAACAAAGCTTAATCATCTTTTGTTAATTCCAGAGCCACCAGCCTATGCTCCTCCACCACCATACTCAGACCGGCCGATGGTGCACGGCACCACAACGGTCATCACCACAGCCCCGGCGCCCGCCATGATGCCGGCTGTCATCATCACCCCAGGCCCAGCCGTGGGCTCCCAGCCCACGATACTCAACTGCCCCAGCTGCCAGGCCCAAATCGTCACCAGGGTTGAGAGCAGTCCGTCGGTCAGGACACATCTTATAGCTGCTTGCTTATGTTTATTCATGTGAGTATATGCCTTGTTTTTTAATTTTGATGAAATTAGGAGATCCTTTATTTATGACAATTTTGAAAAATTACCAAAAGTAGAGCACGACGAGTACAAGATTTTTTAGGTATTTTTATTACATTAGTAGTACCTCTAGTAGTAGGTACCTCTTTCATTTTGGTCAATAAGCCCGTCTTAAGGTATTTTTCACAACGATATTTATTAGTTACTATACTCGTACAATATAAACTAGACGAGCTGTTTAAAATAAAAATTGTGTCTTAGCACAGGCGTGCACCGGTTATCTTAAATAACAACATAATAAAAAACACGTAAACAAAATGTGCACGTAATAGGTACCTACTTAACGTGCAATTCAAAACGTTTTATCAGTGATCATATGCAATTTGCGTGATAGTTTGTTAATAACAAACTTTAAATTAAAACTTTTTTTTTATCAAAACTAGATTTTTTTATCAAACGAGACTGTGATAGGATAGGAGTCACAACTTTTGGGAGCCACAATCAAGTCTAATATTCATAGCCACGATAGCCGAACGGTGAAGGGGTCGGAGTGGCCGACTCGATATCCGAGGAACTCGGGTTCGAATCCCACCGCCGCTCGACTATTGTGGTGAGCCCACTTGTAACACAAGCTTATTTAGCTTAACACGAAGGGCTAATGGGACTATTAGTAATTTGGGTAATACAAATTGCTAATAATCTTTAAAAAATATATATGTTTTTGATGTTGAATCTTTCTCGTATTACACTTAATCCTTTATTTTCCAGTTTCTGGCCGTGCACCTGTCTCCCGTACTGCATCGGCTCCTGCAACAACGCCGACCACTACTGCCCGAACTGCAACGTGTATCTTGGAAGCTACAAATTTTAAATAACCTATAACTATACTCGTAAAGCGCAATACACATTGAGCCCGCCGGGCCGCCGATATTATGTCTTTTTGTCGGCGGTCAAGTTGGCGGCTTCACTATTACAAGTCGGAGAATTTGGTCGGCGGCATGTCGGCGGCTTGAGATGAGAAATTTATTTGGTAGTCAGCATACAAGCACGTCACTACAGGTCAAACGTCGCCGGGCAATTGAGCGCAGGCGTACCCAAGCCGCCAACATGTTGTCGGGTAACACGCGCGGGCGCATGTTGCCGACATGATTCTTTTCATATAGGCCGCCGGGTTATGTCGCCGGGCTTTGTCAGCGGCCCGTCGGGCTCAGTGTGTATTGCGGTTAAGCCTAGGCGTCGACATCGAATTTTACTTGCCCGATAGTTGGGTCGGGCTGTTGATCAGTATGGAGATGTTTGAAAGTGCGCACTACACCAATTTGGTATCGGCCGATTTTTCATACAAACAAATTAGAATCGGGCCCAACTATCGGCCAACTAAAAGTCGGTGGTCTGCGCCTAGGCTAACCGTAACTATAACGATAACATGAAGTTTGACAGATGTTTGACGTTTGTTATAGTTAAAGTAAGATGATGCAACCCAGCCTAAGTTGTTTAGTTTAATGTTTAATATTGTGAGCAAAATAAAATAGAGTCAACATTTACAATCGTTTAAGTAGGCAAAGAGGTAGAGGGAGATAGTTCAATATTGAGATTATGTCTCGAAAAATCATCATTGTATTGTTATATGAGGCATATTAATATTGAATGTTAATAAGTATTCTTTGTATCTATCTATTGTGTTGTAAGATAGTAACATTGTTCATGTCAAAATGTGACCATGGCCAAGCCAAGTTTTTTGTAAATAATAAACCGTATTTTATAATGAATAGTGCTATAAAATATATATTTTATAGTATTGCGATTATGGATTTTTTGTTATTTGAAAATAAATATTTATGAATATTTTTACGGTTTCCGTTTTTAATTTTATTTATCTTTTAGTTATGTGCCCTGTCCATATTTTTAACTAAGATTTAATTTTTAAAACAAGTTGTCCGAAGTGACATTTAACCCATTGAAAAAAAAATGCAGCTGTGAATTTTCAACCTTTTTGTTTGTACTTATAGTATAAAAATGTTGTCTCAATCTAGTTACAAAGAAGGTACAAAATTTTATGTTTAAAGATTTAATTACATGTTCCTAAAATTAAAAAAGTAAGATTTTTTTTGCGAAATTGCCCATAAATACAGAAACGGTAATTTAATTGGTAAATAATCCAGTAACTTAAGTGTTCTTTCATTTAAATTACCTTTTTACTTACATTTGATAACAGAGTTGCTTTGTTACAAAAGTACATAAGAGGACTAAAGGAGTGACTAATTCTTAATTTTGTAATCGTGAAATTGTGACATCTTTATGATAAGATTAAATATTTATGATTACTATCAAAATGAGTCACAAAATGACATATTTATGGCCTTTATAAATAAGCATTCTTTCTGTAAAAGGTAATTAGATGACTCATGGTATCTTCTATTTTTCACAAATAATCTGGAAACTTTAAGCCCTTAGGTGAATGGTATCGTAAAACTTTTATTTTTTTGATAAGATAAAAAAACTTGACAATGAGCGGTGCATGAACGGGCATGGCATTCGTATTAATAATTATTTATTAGATTAGATTAGAAATGCGTGCAAATTCAGTGCAAAATATTATAATATTAAGTTATTTTACTTATTTTTATAACGTAGTTATTTATTTATTTATTTAAGACGTGCAAAACAGGTTACAGCCAAAATATTAATTTCAGATACAAGTTTATTTTATGTACTAGATAGAGAAAAAACTGTTACAAAAACATTAAGTCATCAAAACATATCATTACCCCAACCTTTACCGTAACTACAACCACAACCGGTGGATTTATAAATAGCTAGGCAGAGTTTTGGCGTTTGCTATAGTTTAAGTGAGGTGCAACCTCAGACCAATTAAAACATTCAAAATCATAATCAGTCAAACTCTTAAGGCCAATGTTTTTTTTTGTAACTAAATCATTAATCAATGTATTTGGCTGAAATGTGCACCCCCCCAGCGGGAAATTGAATATCTGATGAAATCCAAAAATAAAATGCCGACAGTGTACAGTCATAGTTTTCTAATCGCCACGTCATAGGATTTGTCCTTATCTGGAGGATTTTTTGCAGTTAACCTTTTTATAATTTTGTGTAGAGACGAAGCCAAGTTCTCGAACTTTTTGTATTTACTTCATTTGTCAGGAATTAGATTATTAAATGATTAAATTACTTAGCTCTTAAAATATTAGATTGTTTCAACCTATGTATCATGATACTTTCCTTAGCTTTGTGAGTTCTTCAAATAAACGTTTAATTATGCGACTTATTTATCCGTTTACGGCGAAGTAAAAGAAAGGGTAATAGTCCGTTAGAACGATTTATGCACAACTTAAAATATAAAGGAGTAGGGACTATATTCCTACCTCTTATTCTCAGTGGAAACTTCCCACCGCAGCAACTTCTGTGTTAAATAAAACCAGTAATCTCAATCAAACATTAAAAATCAAGAAAAATATACACATTCGTGCAGAAACCTCCAACTTGGCTCTTTTTTATCGTTGCCCTTTTTCATAGATAAACGTGCTGTTTGCTATAAATGGTTAGTGCAACACTGAGCTAGTATCGTTGTGAACGCCGACTTGTACAGTGAACTGTATAGAAGGGAAGGAAATATTTTTATTTTATACGAACTAAAACGTAAAAAGTAAATAAATAACATGGACCAATATTCAGGAGAGAAATGTAAGTAAACAGATCTTTAATTTTTGATAAAATTTTGAGGTGTGGTCTTCATTTACCTACTTAAATTAAAAAACACCAATTAGTTAATAGTTATTTTATTAAGAATACACATTCAGTTAGATAGTTAGGTATTATGAATAGATATTAACGTGAAATTAAGTAGATACTTATTCAAAATCCTGACATGCATGAACAATAGTATTCATATAAGTATTTTTAACACGAAACATGTCGTGTGCACATTTTATACTTTACTTTTTAATTATTAGCAGAATAGCTAGTAAAGTAACCTAATCAGACTCGTAAATATGAGCTTGTGCTAAAAATATTTCAGTTCTCGATTCGCGATGGAAAAATCGACTATCAGTATTATCGAATCTTTTGGCAGATGATAACAGCTATCACTGTGTGATTGATATTCCGAAAAATAGAGCTTATTGTACTGATAAGTAGTTACTTATATGATGGTCAGATTTACGTCATAAGTAATCACTAACATAATGATAATCTTCTTAAAATTATCTTTTTTGGCAACAATGGGATGCAAGTTTGCTGTAGCTAGTTTTCTTTTTAATTTTAATATGGGTCAAAAAATAGGAATATCAAGGCAACAAAGAAACAAAATTATAATAGCTGGGATGTTTTCTCGTGTATTTTTTGGTTTATTTTAGAAACTAGTAGTTTCTGCCTTCGTAAATCACGCCTGTTATAGAGTTGATATAAAGATATGGGCTTGAAAAGCCTGTTATAGAATTGATATAGAGATTTTTGGGCTTGTCATCAAAAGGTTTTGGCCCGAATGTAACTGATAAATATATAGTTAGATAAAGTTTCGTATTTACAATATTAAAACAGAAAAAAATATCATTTCAGCCACTCCGGCCCCACCGCCATACACCACCGGCCCTGGTCCGCAAGGCCCACCAGGCCCGCCTCCAGGGTTCTACCCGCCACCCCAGGGGGCCTACCCGCCGCCCCAGGGGTCCTACCCACCGCCTCCAATGGTGACCACCACCACAGTCTACCCGGGCACCGTCACCGTGGTATCAACCGTCACCCCCATGGGGTCTAAGCCCAGTGCTGCGGTCTGCAAAAGCTGTAACATGGAAATCACGACAGTGGTCAAACATAAGTCGACCACCAAGACGCATCTGTTCGCACTTCTACTGTGTGTGTTTGGGTAAGCAGAGACTTTTGACCGTTGATAGAATGTAAAAACATGTAATAGCTTTGAAATATACAAAGTAATTTTACTTTTGATGTAAATATACTGACAAGCGCAGGACCGTTTATTGTGGAAAACCTTGGGGGAGGCCTTTGTCCAGCAGTGGACGTCATTTGGCTGAAACGAACAAACACTGACTAGTAAGGGTATCGAGGACCCATTATGATCTTAATGTAGAACTATCTGAGTTCCTTTCCTTTGCCTTTCCGTTCCTTTGCTTTTCCTTCCACCATTGGAACTCCTGTATAGCCAAGGTTACGTACAGTTGGGCCATTAGTTAAATTCAACCTGACCTGACATCAGGTTCTGACATCAGGTCAGGTTAATCAGAAAAATAAAGGTTGAGTGCGATGTGTATTTGGTTTAAATTACCTAAACTGACACATTAATAATTTACAGTAAAAACCTGGCAGGTATGAGTGTATTAAGGATAAGTTTTTTATTAACGTACCTATTTCTTTTGTTTTCAGATTATGGCCATGCGTGTGCATCCCTTACTGCATGGACAGCTGCCAGAACGCTGACCACTACTGTCCAAACTGCCAAGCATACCTGGGATCTTACTTAGGATAAATCATCATTTAATCTAAATTAAGTTCTTGAAATCGATTTTATCAAAATTGCTATCTGGCACTGATATTTCCTTTTTTCCATTCGAATTAAGAAGTAATATCAATGGCAAAAGGCACGGATTATTTAGACTGATAACTTATCTGAGGATGAAGATACAGTATCAGTAGTAAGAACTCCGAGCTAGATTCGTGCTGTGTGAATCATTAGTCAATTTATTTTAAGTAGGTTACATAGGTTATGACTTTTAGATGAGCTAGAGAATATTGACTTCTTTTTCTTTGCCTTGTCCTGTCCCATTTTATTTGGGGTCGGCCTTAGAATTTTGACTCCAAATTGTTTAAATTTATGAAGGTCTATAGTTAGTGACTATCTTATGTGATACTAAAGACAATTTTTGTTGTAGTTTACATTGAGAATTAGTGTTCTTTGAGTCTTGTTTGGAGATTTGTAAACTCTCTACAAATGTTAAATAAATTGTAAACTGCTTATGTCTTATTTATTTTTAAGAATGTACCTAATAGGTACCTAACTAGGTAATAAAATATTATTAACTAATAATATTTTATGCTTATTTGTATTATGACGATTTCATGTTTTATCTGTAAATATTATAATACTTAAATAACAAATTGAATGTGTTTCATTTCATTTTATCTCGAAAATGAACTTGTGTTGATATTCTTATTAATTAGTGTATGAGTAATATTTTAATGCTGTCAACTGATTACTAGAAATAATATTATGTAACTGTATAAAGTAAATATTTTGATATCAAATAATAAACATAGTAAATAAATTATTGAGAACATGCTTTTTAGTTGATAACTAGCACTTCATTGCCTGATACAATACCCGCATTCAAAACAGAAGTACTAAATCAATCTAGAAAAACGGAATCATTTTGTTAATGGAATGATTAAATTGAGGAGTGAAAAAAGAAAAGTATAAAAAACATTCAGCCCTCATTTCCGGGAAAAAATGGTTCTTACTTTATTGACAAGTAGGTAAGTAAAGAATAGTAGAGCCATCTAGTAAACGCAAATACGTTAGCACTCATATTAATTACATACTCGAATTATAGAAACACACACACTTAAGGGTAAAATAAATATGTACATCCACGGGACATACATACATGGGACGTCCACCCACAAGGTGGACCGACGACATCATAAAGGTAGCAGGAAGGCGCTGGACGCAGGCCGCTCCCAACTGGGCAACATGGAAAGCATTGGGGGAGGCCTATGTTCAGCAGTGGACGTCCTATGGCTGAGATGGTGATGATGATGAAATATGTACATGTGTAGATGCATGGCATGATTCATTGATGAGTAACTAGAATAACCGAGTAATTTCTAGAACCTAGTAAGAATTTCTAGTGCAGAACTAGAAGTGATGAATCACGTAAAGGAAAGGTAAGTCAATTCCACGTGTGATAGAAGTTATTTCTAATTACAGATTCTTTTTAAATTCTCGAAAAGAAAAACAGCTGTATTTTTATATGAGTGTGGTCGGTTTCCCCCAAACGGATGGACCAATATTGTTTTAGTTTTGTTCAAGGGATCAAGGGAAGGGAAATTTGTCCTGCCTACCTACTTTGATATGGAATATTTTATGCTTAGTAGTAAAAAGAAGTCCACCAAGTTGGTATTACAATGGATTATTTACCAAAGATAACATTCTTTACTATATCGACCACCAAACAGCCTTGACCTTACTTGTAAACCTTACTCACTTCCTGAAACAGAAAAAAACTTAACAATGAAGCGTTGTTGTTACTTTGTACAAAAAACAAAGTGACATCTATTGCCCGCAATTCCGTCTGCTCGAAGTAGTATTAAAGTCGTTAGTTGTACCATCCCAACGTAACCAGACTTCTGTGAGTGATTAAAACAATGGCGTGATTTAATTTTTATTATATTTTTCTTAGAATTAACTTATTTATGGTCTCTAGTAACTACAGGGTGACTTTGAAATCGTTGACATCCTTTAAATACAAAAAGGATTCTTTGTATTATGTTGAGTGAGATGTTCGTAACAACTGCATTATGGGCACAGAACATAGAAAGAGGTTGCTATGTTCTGTCATTATGTACCCGTAATGCATTATACGGTATTATACCCATAATCCAGTCAAACAACAAATGCGTGCCCACACTTTCCCACCACTGTAACTCCTTTACAGCAAGGATCTACCTACAGCTTAGCCTCAAATGAAACCCAACCAGTGAAGGTTTAGTCCGGTAGCTTACTGTCTTGGAACCCGCAACGAATTGAATCGAAGAATAGGAGTTCCAAATAACTGAACTGAACAATAATAGAGTTAAAGCAAAGTTGTAGGTATACCACAGAAACAATAGTTCTATTTATGTGAAAGGAGTCATCTGATGATAAGTAAATCCCACCGTACATTGAAAAGCCGTAGAAAAATTGACAATGCGTGCCAGCCAAGCCTTGGCCATTGGGCTTTTTAAATAAAGTTGTACCAACTAGCACTTTTATTCAAAGTGTTATAGCATTTAATTATCTTCATCTGAACATAGGCCTCCTCCAATTATTTTCATAATGACCGGTTGGTAGCGGCCTGCATCCTTGTGGGCGGATGTCCTACGCTACGCTTTCCGGTACGTGCCCCATCGGCCGTCAGTTCTGCGTAGGTACTATGTGCCCTGCCCATTGCCATTTCAGGTTTCTAATCCGTCGGGCTATGTCAGCTACTTTTAATCATAGTCTACTACTAATTGAACAATTATTTTAAGGTAATACTTGCGTTTTTCCCGACAGGTCAATCAGGCAGGAAAACGTTTGCATATAGCTGGATTGATAAGTCATAATTATAATCAAATACCAAGTATATGAGCTGTTCCACCTAATGATAATTTTTAGATAATGGGATAAGTAATTTATCTTTACAGTGTAAATATACATAGATAAGATTTCTGTACAAGGCGTACTTACCAAAGGTACCAAAAGTACTAAAGTACCTTTTTATTGGCATAACAATAAACTTCCTTAGTGGAATGATAGTATCATGATAGTAGTAATATAAAGGCTTAACTTGTTCAGGCTTCCTTTTTTTTTTTTTTTTCGTCGGTAAATGCTTTGCGCATACCCACTGGTCTATGGGGACGGCCAGTGGGTTATGTGGGACTCTCCCCACCTACCCACTAAAGGCGGGGCCTACCCACTAAAACCCGACGGTTTCCACCAGAGCCCAAAGAAACGGAGCCGCGAGTTATTGTCCTGGTTGGACATTCGTCCGCAGCTCCGCCTCAGGCTAGAGGCTCGCTCACGAGCAAGCCTCTCTGGCTTCCCGTTGTTTTTTTTTTCCGTTGAGTCCCCTCCTCCAGTTGTTTTTTATAGAGGTTTTCTCCTCGCGGCCCTGGTATAACAGGACCCCCGGCCCGCCGTAGCGGGTTACGGTCTGCTCTATGCCGCTGCTCGGTCAGCTCTGCTGATCAGAGAAGTACCGAGAGCGGCCCTCCAAAGAATGGGCCCAGGCAAACGCCCCGCCAGCCCCCACCTGTGGGGGTTTTTAAAGATGTCCCCTGCATCGTGGCCCGGGCAAATGCCTCGACGGCCCCCGGCCCACTCAATTGTGGGTTACGGGTTGCCCGACAGACCCGCCGAGTTGACGAGACCTGCCGCGCAGGTGAGAAGTTAGCCGCCCGCGTGAACAGACCACGCGGACGTTGCCCAGGGTGCACCACGAGGAGGTCGCTCACCATCGCACCCCTTGTTCAGGCTTCCTAGGTTAGGCTGAGTAAGCAACTATTACGATAACGGGTGCTGTTTGCATGAAGTTTGACAAAATTTTGACGTTTCATTATCATCATTTCAGCCATAGGACGTCCACTGCTGAACATAGGCCTCCCTCAATGCTTTCCATGATCAATTGGTAGCGGCCTGCGTCCGTCCAGCGTTTTCCTGCTACCTTTATGATATCGTCGGTCCACCTTGTGGGTGGATGTCTCACTCTGCGTTTTTCGGTACGCGACCTGGCCTCCATGACGTTGACGTTTGTTATAGTTAAATTAAGATGGTGCAACCCAGGGTAAGTATTGTTAGTGGTCCTAGCAACACTTCTATGCTTAGTTTAAGATCATTAAAGGGCAGTATAACAAAAGTAACATAAATTGATAATAACCATGCAGTAGCTATAAATTGATCTCAGGAAATATTTAATAATATGACCTTACCTTAACACCCTGTATTTTTTATTTGTTTATAGAACTACAATAGATAGAGCAGATTAGGGCAGCGATATCCGATCAATAAGTACGTAGTTGATAATAAAAGTACTTAGGATGAGTCACCCAATTGTTTTGCATAAGACGAATAAATTCTTATTGATGATGAATGAGTCAAAGAATTAGATAAGAAGCAGAGTAATAATAAGAGCAAGTTTAACATGATTGAATAAGAGATATACCTATATCTCTCCTTGCATAAAAATCTTCAAAGATTAGAATTATTATCTTTGAACATTTTTTACGCAGGAAGGTTTTCATAGAAGTTACGTAAGTTCTTGAAACAAAATCTTAACAATAGCAGACAATAATAGTACAAGTTTTACAAAACAATAAAACTTGTATTATTGAGCAGAGACGATGCACAGCATCTGGTGAGAGATGCGTCTACTTCCGGTGTAGTTTTTTACCGTTTTATACCTTAAATGACGTCATTTCCGCAATTATTTAATAGGAATTGATTTGACTTACTTCCGTTTGCCGCCATTTTAGTCACCTGGGGGCGAGCTTGCTCGGAGTTCTTCATAGAGAGCTCACCAGGAGGCCTTCTTGGGATGCTGTGCATCGTCTCTGCTCAATAATACAAGTTTTATTGTTTTGTAAAACTTGTACTATTATTCGGCATGTGACGATGCACAGCATCTGGTGAGAGACTTGTTTATTAGCTCCTGGTGACTACTTACCAATGGCGCTATGTGATGAAAGTTTTCGAGTTTCTGTAACAGAACTAGATTAGAACATGATTAATTTCAGGGTATTAACATGTTTTGTTCTAAATGCTCGCCGGGGTCCGAGTTTCTCTGGTATCCGACGCTCTGGGTCCACCTGCTCGTCGTCCGGAAGACACTCGTCCCCTTTGGCGCCAACCACCATCACGTACATGTCGTTCGCGGTCACACACGCGCGGTCAATTGCACTTTTTAATTTTAAACTTAGTATAAGAACGTTGAGAAATAACTTATTTCAGTAAAAATCTGAGCAGAGTTTCTGCTTACGATGTTGCTAGTTTGGAAGTTAAAGACGCTATGAAGAACTCCGAGCAAGCTCGCCCCCAGGTGACTAAAATGGCGGCAAACGGAAGTAAGTCAAATCAATTCCTATTAAATAATTGCGGAAATGACGTCATTTAAGGTATAAAACGGTAAAAAACTACACCGGAAGTAGACGCATCTCTCACCAGATGCTGTGCATCGTCACATGCCGAATAATATAGTATTTTATACTTAGGCTGAGTTGCACTACCTTGTTTAACCGTAACAATAACATTAACCAGTGCTTTTTGTATGGAATTTTATATATTTCTGACGTTTGTCAAAGTTAAAGTAAGATGATGCAGCCCAGCCTTAGAAAACTCTAACAAACAGTGAGTCTTTGGTCGGGACTTTGTATTTAAAATATCAATTGCACAGTTAAACAATAGCTTTGAAGTTAAAGTGACCGACATAGCCCATTTATTACCAAAATAAAATGGCAGTGGGCGGGGCACCTGTGGGGTAGTGTGGGCAGGCAATTAGGTGGAACGACGATCTGTGTGCCTACCATGAGTTTACGTTAGGTGAGCTTGCTAGCGAATACGTCAAAAAATTCTATGAAGATTTTATTTCTTGAAAGTAGCCGCTAGGGGCGCTGCACAATATGTCATACATTTAAATGTCATTTTTTTACGCAGTCGCTAGCGAGCACACCTAACGTAAACTCATGGTAGGCACACTGGTGAAGGTCTGTACCTCTAGTAGGAAAAACTTTCGAGTTCGTTTCGTTGCGTATTCAAAGTGTCATCGAAAAATTTTGTATGAAAAATTAAACAGCGCCCCCTATATTATAGCCGCCCTAGGGGGCGCTGTTTAATTTTTCATACAAAATTTTTCGATGACACTTTGAATACGCAAACGAAACGAACTCGAAAGTTTTTCGTACTAGAGGTACTGGTAGAACCTGGGTGCGGGCAGCGTAGGACCGGTCGTTATGGAAATTCTTGGGGGAGGCCTTTGTCCAGCAGTGGACGTCATTTGGTTGAAACGAACGAACGAGCTGTCGTCGGTAGATACATCATTTGGTTCGCCGAATTTGCGGATATGATCGGAGCTTATCGCAAAATATTATCAATTTTATCTATTATGCCATACCATATCGCTCGAACGCACCAACCACTGCCTGCTATTACATTTTTGGCGATAACCCTCCACGTTAAAGGCAAAGTGAGATGGTATTTACTATTAGTCACCGAATTAATTCTGCCAGTGCAAACGAATAAGCGATCGTGCTAAAAATAAAAAATAAAATTTTGGAATTGTCACTAAGTAACCAAAATATTTCAAAATGGGAGATGTAAGTCAATTTTATGCATAACTTATCAAAATGTTTTAATAATGATATTTAATATACTTGAAAGCTACATTTAAAGTTGTCCCTTAAAAACCCTCCAGTATTCAAATAGCAAGTTGTTTTACTAAGCTCTCAGTGCCTTTAGGGCTTTTGATACATTTTTAAAATCGAGGAGTGAAAAAGATTAGAGGAGTACTAATCTGTTTTCCGGCTTTTCAAGGTTTAGATATGGAATGAAGAATTGACTAGCAATGTCAAATTTAAAGCTTTTATTCAATATGCCTTTTCCAAGGCGTTTATTTTGTCCTAAATAGCCCTACCGACACTTCGGGACAACATAATATAGGCTGCTGCTGAGATGAAGTGGCAGAAAGAAACCCATTCACCTTTGTCAGCCTCTTTTTCAGACAGGTCAATATCCCAGCAATGTTTCAGGTAAAAATATTTTTAATTTATATAAATTGTTGATTCCAGGTTGAAATGAACCCCACCAAGGTCACCATTGTCACCAATGCTCCAGCTCCGGGCGCCATCTCTGTGGGTCCCGTGGGGCCTGATGAGATGGCAGTCACCTGCCCCTCGTGCCTCGCCACCGTCACCACCAGGGTTGAGCGGAAAGCCTCCACCAAGACACACATGATCGCTTTGGCGATATGCGTTTGTTTGTGAGTATCATTTTATTTAGTCTACCTGCTCATCTCTACGAGCTATGTGCCGCCCACTGCCACTTGATCGAGGCGCTGGATGCCGTTCATTAGTTCATTAGACCGAGGCCTTTGTCCAGCAGTGGACGTCATTTGGCTGAAACGACGACCTACTCATCATCATCATAAGCGTTTTACTGCTGGACGTGAACCTCCCCCAAAGAACGAGCTCTAGCTGTTTTCATCTAGCACTGCTGACTATTTTTGCAGTCGTCGGTCCATCTCTTACCATATTTTTACCCACAATAGAGAAGGTCTTGACCAGCATCTCACCTGATGGAAACTGATAACCAGGCTGAAGATTGAAGTAAACTTCACCACGAGTTGAGTTTCTCTGGAACTGCTTTAAGATGTCAGATGTATGCATGCATTTTCAAAATTAACAAAAATGAATAGGACGTCATCTAAATACTTAAAAGTCGCAAGAGATAATCAAAGCGTGATAAAATGTGGACTGAGAAAAAATAATCATTGTAACAAGAAAGGTACTCGTAGTAGAACATAGAAGAAAATACAGCCAAAAACTGCTCTACATAGCAGTGTCAAGTATGAATAGGTTATCATATTAATTCGGATATAATTGATAATTATGTACTTTGTCGCTACGTGTTACATCTTATCATTTTTAATCCGGCTTATTGGCGGTTTTTATCTACTATTATCTGCTCATACATAGGTTTAACAACTTGAAAAAGTGTTTTTTTTTTACCACTGATTGGTAACAATAAATTATGATCAGTACATATTAACTGGAGTCCGATGATATTGATCCAAGTCAAAGAGTAGATTCAAACGTTTCAAATAATTTAAATGGGTAATTCTTAGTTAAACTCATATCCGAAAAAAAAGTTAGATGTGATGCGATAATTTTCAACTATCGGGGGCAGTATAGAACAAAAAGGTAAACGGGACTATTCCTACCTCTCGTTTCCACCGCTACAACTCCTGTGTAGCCAGGATCTATCTATAGCTTAACTTAAAAAACTCAATTAGTGAAGGTCAAGTTTGTCCCGGGGGAAAGTTAAACTGTCATTGGACCCGCAAAGAAATTAATCAAAACAACAAAAGGATAGAAGATTGAGATCTCTTTCTTGTTCTTTTCCATCTCTGTTTCTTTCGTATCTAATCATAATTATAATTTATTTCAGCGGCTGTCTATGCGCGTGGATTCCCTACTGCAAGAACTCCTGCCGGAACGCTGACCACTACTGCCCTAACTGCGACTCCTACCTCGGAACGTACCAGAATTAGTTTTAATATTTACTTGATAAGTTTAGTGTTCTATCTTTAGTACAACTCCTTTTTTCCCAAGCCTAATCTACTTATAGCTCCTACTTTTCTTAGGCTCTGTCTTGTTAAAAGTTCCTTTTTTTAGTACAACCTCTTCCTTTTCAAGTCTTATTAGCTGTCTCTCTGTTTGCGTTTGTTTTATTGCTTTAAGATTAAAGAAATGAAAACAAATATTGCCCACTTGTAAGTTTTGCGTTAAGTATTTTTAATAAATAATGAAATCTCACCAAATCATACAATTATGTCTCTAAGCAGTGGCTTTAATTCCTACAAGAATATGAAAAATCTACAAAATATTTTTAAGGGAAAATCAAAGTAAAGGAGTTTTTACTGAACCATTTCAGAATGTTTCATGTAATAGCTAATCATTAAGTGGTATCTTTATTCTATTGTTGGTTTTATTTTTTGTTTAATTTAAATTAGGTTAAGTATTTAGTTTTGTATAGTATCCTATAGATGAGAGCACATCATTCAATACATTTGTGTTCTGTTGAGCTTGAATTGCTGTCGTCTGTACTCGTACTAGAACACGATCATAATCTGATTGAGATAAATGTTTTTTTTTTAATAAATTAAATTAGATAAGGACTTTTACTTTCCTGTTAATATTGCCGCAGTGAAAAGAAATAAGTTATTAATTTATTCATATAAAATAAATTATAAATTGTTTCCACCATGTTTTAAACTTTATTGAGAAATCTTAGCCTACTTATAAAATTAGGTACAAATAAGATTCAAAACAAAAATTCAAAACATGTAATAAATAATATAGGAGATGAGAAATTAATGCTGTGTTTTGTTTGTGACTAAAGATTTATTGTTATTATTACATCACAGTCCCTATTAAGTTAACAAAACTTCCAGTTGCTATAAGCCATGTTTGGGGCCGGGTAATAATGTGAATGAATAAAAATAAGATATCATTAATTTAAATAAGTATCTTAATTATTAATAAACAATAAGATGACTGTTCATTGATGACTGTCAATTATAAAATTAAATACACAATATTATGCTTTTGGTTATCTTAATAGGTACCTAAATAAAAAAAATATTTGGTCAGATAAGTTTAAACGCTACATCCTTGTTTTGTTTTTTTTGTTGTACTTTAAAATAATAATAAATAAGGTTAAGCCCCAATACTTTTAGGACATAGTAACTCTAACCTCAGTATATTATATCTAATTAAACGGGACTATTACCACCTCTCGTTCCCACCGCTGCAACTCCTGTGTAGCCAGGATCTACAGCTTGACCGCCAATAAAAACCCAACCAGTGAAGGCCTAGTTTGTCCCGAGAAAAGTTAAACTGTCATTGGACCCGCAACGAAATTAATTAGAAGAACATAGAAGGAGTTCGAAACTTCGAAGTTGGGGTTCGACTTCCTTCCAGTGCAAAGTAGATGACAGGTGACTAAACAAAGTTCGTTCGTTTCAGCGAAATGACGTCCACTGCTGGACAAAAGCCTCCCCCAAGGATTTCAATAACAACCGGTCCTGCGCTGATCCAGGCTCTTCTCGCGACCTTCACCAGATCGTCGGTCCACCTAGTGGAAGGCCTGCCCACGCTACGTCTTCCGGCCCGTGGTCGCCACTCGATAACTTTTCTACCTAAACCTAAACAAAGTATAAGAGTATTATATTGCCTACATACAGGTGGGGTATGTTCTTAATTTGTACCTAAGTGATAGACCTGCCCCTCCCATCGATTATCTATAAGTTACGCCATCGCTCAGCCATATCAACACTACCCAGAAACGTTATCGTTAGACTTACGATATGTATGAGCCATAAACGACTAAAGGTAAACTAAAGTGATATTAGTTGCCTGATAATTTTTTGCCAGTGTGCACGGGATAGTTATCGTTATAAGCAAAAAGTGTTGGGTGAATACCGAATCAGCTGTAACTTAAAACGTACGTATAATATACACATGTCATTTTATGAAGCAATAGTAGGTACTACAATAAGCCCTAACCTATAAAATATTAGAATGGTTTCTGATTTTATAAGTGAGTAAAACATTTTAGGCTACTGCCAACTATGTATTAGATTCTCCGTAAACTACAGATTTTTAGTCGGCAGATAATTTGGTCGGCTCTTAATTTGTATGAGGAAGTGGCTGATACCAAATTGGTATGTGCGCACTTCCTGTATGTTCATACTGATTAACAGCCCGACCAAACTATAGGCAAAAATTCGTTATATTATTTTTAACTATTTTGTGACAGTTAACTCTATCAACCTGAAATTAGTACAGTTAATAATAATTAGTAAACAAGTAGTTCCTGATAAAACTGCAATTTGGCGGTTCGGACCCTGTTGAAACCAATTTTATTGAGAGAAACAATAAGTGTAATTTATACGAGCTCTTAGATTAACCTCAATTGATATGATAGTTGATGTTATCAAATTTTATTTTTATTACATACCTACGCATCTTTTAAAACCGCTATAATACTGTTATACTATAATTTACGTCTATCTAATCGACAAATACAAAATTATTTGTGTAATGCTGGTTTCCTAGCAACTGTGTATATTTCCATTAAAATAATGAGCTATGCAAATACCTAAAATAGTCATATTACGATTAAAACTACCTCTATGTTCAAAACATTTGTATACCGGACATATAACTCCCAGCAGCAGACATTAGCTTTGTTTTGAGGTACCTAAGCAATAGGTATAGTCGATAGCACATCAATTTATACATGTTTGTAGCAAAATACCAACTACAATTATTTACCACCATTTAAGATGCCACAGTGTTATGCTCGATCTATTTTTTTTACTTCATCATCATCATCATCTCAGCCATAGGACGTCCACTGCTGAACATAGGCCTCCCCCAATGCTTTCCATATTGCCTGGTTGGTAGCGGCCTGCGTCCAGCGCCTTCGCTTTATGATGTCGTCGGTCCACCTTGTGGGTGGACGTCCCACGCTGCGTAGGCGGCCTCCACTCCAGAACCTTGCTGCCCCATCGGCCATTTTTTTTACTTATTTGGAGCATTTAAGTATTAGTTTTCCTCCTGTTCTTACAGTGAATTAGTAGTGTTAAGTTTCCATAGAACATAGTTAGATATCAATTCTGTAATCAGGATTTCGATGAAAATTGTTGATATGATGATAAAAACAGCTGATAAAGAATCAAGTTGGTGTAAATTTAATGTAAACAAAACGTCGACGTGTGGATAGAACTGCTTCAATAATACTAAGAACTGAAGTGAAAATGTTATTTCAGGAGTCATTAGGCACGAGAAAGTAGACAGTTCGAAACTAGCATTGATACAGACTTCAATTGAACTCTATTGACATACAATACTGAAAATACTCGTACCCTTCAGCGAGAATTCGATAACAGACCACTTTAGCCTGACAGTTCTATTTATTTATTTATAAAAACCAACAGCGATACATTGATATTTATACTGAAATAGAAAGACACTGGTCTTAACGCGACATTTATGAATGAGTTACATTATGTACTCATGGCTTGACGTTTCGGTTGCTATGCTGCAGCCGTGGTCACAAGCAGACTGGCGGCTCGCTGCGTCGTACGTTCGGGCGGGCTTGATAATTTTCAACTACCCTAATACCCATAAACTTTTACATTTGTTTAAAATCTTATGGTCTACTAGCGGCCGCCCGCGACTTCGTGCGCGTGGATCTCGTTTTACCCCCCCTTCATTTATCTTACGCGGTTCAGATTTTTTCATACAAATGTTTTTTCCCGCTAACTCCCGTTCCCGTGAGAATTTAGCAATATCCTGTTGTAACTAAGCTTTAAGTTTACTAAGGTACCTGCATGCCAAATTTCAAGAGTCTATCTTACGCGGTTTAGATTTTTTCATACAAATGTTTTTTCCCGCTAACTCCCGTTCCCGTTGGAATTTTGCAATATCCTGTTGTAACTAAGCTTTAAGTTTACTAAGGTACCTGCATGCCAAATTTCAAGAGTCTATGTTACGCGATTTAGATTTTTTCATACAAATGTTTTTTCCCACTAACTCCCGTTCCCGTGGGAATTTTGCAATATCCTGTTGTAACTAAGCTTTAAGTTTACTAAGGTACCTGCATGCCAAATTTCAAGCGTCTAACTTAAGCGGTTTAGATTTTTCGTACAAAAGGATTTTCCCGCTAATTCCCGTTCCCGTGGGAATTCCTAAGTATCCTATAACCTGCCCAGGAGTATGAAGAATAATTGTACCAAGTTTCGTTAAAATCCGTCAAGTGGTTTTTGTTTCTATAAGGAACATACAGACAGACAGACAGACAGACAGACAGACAGACAAAAATTTTACTGATTGCATTTTTGGCATCAGTATCGATCACTAATCACCCCCTGATAGTTATTTTGAAAATATATTTCATGTACAGAATTGACCTCTCTACAGATTTATTATAAGTATAGATTTATAGTTATAGAATTCACATTGCTAATTCCAGATCAAAATGGAGCCGACCGTCACCACAACCTTCGTGACCTCAGCAGCGCCTGTGGGACCCAACGAGACGAATATGACCTGCCCATCATGCCAAGCCACCATCACCACCAGGGTTGAGCGCAAAGCTACCACCAAGACGCACATGATTGCTCTGGCGTTATGCGTTTTTCTGTAAGATTTTTTATGCCAACCCATATAATGCCATCTAATAATGTCTCTATAACACAATATAAAGGCTTGAATTCTCAAAAGATGCTCTTTTAATAGAGCATCTTTTGAGAATCAAACAGGCTTTAGCCTGTAATCGTTTTCAAGGTATTTGTCGTAATTAGGGCTTGAATCTGTACTAAGGTTCCAAACGTGTTTTGACCATTATTTCAGAATCTGAAAGGCTAAAATTATGAAACAAATTCAAGTATGATTAAAGTTCCAGATTGGCCCAAATATAGTTGAACCATTCATAAGCTTCAATCACGTTTTGACAGTAAAAAGTATAATATGCATTGATTGATGTGATTGGATAACCAAGAGAGTCAATTACGTTAAAATTTCAATATTTCTTAATGCGAACATCTAGGGTCTGGAATTCGCTGCCTGCTGCTGCCTTTCCCGAACACTATAATCCGGGCCTTTTCAAAGCGACAAAGAATAGGCACTTATAGGGCAGATATGTACCATCTTAGACGCATCTCACTTAACATCAAGTGCGATTGCAGTCAAATACCTACATGCCTTATTCTGCATAAAAAAAAATTGTGTTATGAAACTTGGTGCTCACATTTAATAGTTTTTAGGCGTATTCTCATGATATTTACCTATCATTTCCAGGTGCTGGCCATGCGCGTGCATTCCCTACTGCAAGAACTCGTGCAGGAACGCTGACCATTACTGCCCTAGCTGTAACGCGTACCTGGGAACATACGTCAATTAGTTTTATACTGCTGATATAATCACCTATAGTTTAAGCTTCTGTCAAGTCAAGTTATGGGCTGATTTCTCAATCGTCAGATATCCTTAAGCTGAAGAATGAATTTGAAATTTTGACATTATTTCCAATACTGAAACTTTCAACGTACCAAACTAAGGGCTTCTTTCACCATGTCCTTTTAAGGTTCCAATTAGTTACCTCCTAATTAGCAAGATGGTGAATTTAGATAAATTGCTACTTAATGCAACGGAGCCCTTATTCTTCAGTTAAAAGTTGTCCAACGATTGAAAAATCGGCCCTTAATTGATTTTAACCCTTCATTCGACGGATTTTTTTTTTAATTAAATTTATAAAACAGTTACTGATTTCGTTTCTTAGCTTGTCTAGGACCCCAGAAAAAATACCCAAAAAAATCTAACTATTTCAGTTTCCTGAAAAACCTATGTCCAGTATACTGGACGTTGCCAAGTTCATAAGAAAGTGACGCTCTCCAACCATGTCCAGTATACTTCCCGTTGTCGAAGAGACAGAAAAAAAAAACAAGTGGTTCCGTAATAAAATATTAATTATCATCATCATAATTTCAGCTTTATGACGTCCACTAATGAACATTGTCCTCCCCCAATGATTATCAGGTTGGCAAGTGGGCTAACCACCGGCCAATCTGATAGTCACTCTGTATCCTGCGCCTTCCTGCTACCTTTATGGGTTCATCTGTCCACCTTGTGAGTGGACCTCCCACGCAGCGGTTGTCGGCACGTTGCCTCCATACTAGAACCTTGCTGTAGCCATCAGTCATCAGTTCTGCGTGATGTGCGCCCTGCCCATTGCCACTTCAGCATGCTAATCCATAAGGCTATATCAGTTAAGGTGTTATCCCCTTTCTTGAATAAGGGTACCACAACGCTTCTGGTCCATGCCTCTGGCATTATTCCCTCGAGTAAGACAAAGTTAAAGATTTAGCTGTCTATATTCATGTGCTCTATGCAAGAACTGATGGAAAAGCAGGGTGAGAAGAACAATTTTCTCATAAAAACCAGTATCTATATGAAAAGGAGTAGTGTTAGGTGGCACCAATGCTACTAAGGCTTGTTTTTTAGAGTTGATACTCTGAAAAACGGTACATAGTGAGGCAGAAAACATTTTATGTGTGGATCCCTAAAATATTATTATCAAAACCCACAAAAGTTAATTTTCTAACAATTTGGCAACGGGAAGAATACTGGACATAGTTTTTAGCAGTTACTTTACTAGTAATTCGACAACGGGAAGTATACTGGACATGCAAGTTATAGGTGTCGTAAAACGAAAACAAAACTCTGTATGACAGTAAATACATTGTAAGTAGCTTCGCAGGTATTCTATCTATAGTTTTTAATAATATTACAAGAGTATTAAGCCGTAAAATAATGAATAAAATGCAATTTACCGAGAGCCCGCATAGCGGGCCCTTCCTCCCCGTCATATTATTGGAGATTGCTCGCGTCTCATCGATATTGGTGCCTTGCTGATTTTTGACAGCATAGTTAGATAGTTCAGGGAGCAAATAAACACCTTGAGTTCAAGATATACGGTCAATTTTTTTACGGAGATTTATTTTCGTTCAATGGGAAGTATATCGCACGTCGTCGAATTAAGGGTTAAAGCCTTTCTAAAAAAAAATACATCTCAGTTACAGTTTGACAGATGCTGGATCACATTATTATGTAAAAGTGCTATTACCATACTTGATTCTTTATATCCATCACTATTTTGTATTTTGTAAAGGCAATGAGATGATGGCGGCATTCTCGCAATGATCCTACCTATTATATTTATTTTTACTCTCTTCATAGAGTCATTTATGATATTATCTTACGATTAATTTGAAGGTATTGGATATTTTTGTTCTTGCCATAATTTAGTTAACGTTTAAATGTTAGCAGTTCATCGTTTAACTTAGTTATGTCCGTCTTCGTTTGAAGTGGATTGTATGGAGGTCTGGGTTGAGTTATTGGTTAGTGTCCAATTTCATTGTCATTGACACAATGTTACTAAACAATAACGTGTTTTGACACGAAGCGGAGTAGGTACAGTTGCTTTTATGGCAGTAGCATGAAATACATACTCATTTTATATTCCTGCTGAATTGAAATGGATTTAGAGTTTTAAATGTAACATATTTTCCTTATTAAAATATTTTTAATAATGTTTCAGATTATTATTGATTTATTATAATTATGATTATTTCGATGTCATCCTTTACTTCTGTGCGATAATTCATTAATATCGAATTCAGTCTTCATCAGCACACCTTCTGCATTCCCAGCACAACCCATTTTTACTAAGACTACATAAGTAAATGTAAGTATTTCTATTCCATTCATTTAACTATGTTAGGCTTACTTAAGTACTCTATCATCATTTCAGCCATAGGACGTCTACTGCTGAACGCCTCCTTAACGATTTTCCACATCGCCCGGTTGGTAGCGACTTGCATCCAGCTCCTTCCTGCTACCTCTATGAGGTCGTCGGTCCACAGTGTGGGTGGAAATCCCACGCTGCGTGCTATAGTATATGGCCTCCACTCCAGAACGTTGCTGCCCCATAGGCTGGCAGTTGTGCGTACTATGTTCCGTGCCCATTGCCACTTATTCTAAATGTAGGTACACATTAAGTTAATCAATGGTTGGAGCGAGATATCAAATAATTAATAAATGATGCAAACGTCAATTATTGATAATACAAAAACGCGTTTTATTTACAATGTTAATGATTATGTCATAGTAATTGCATTGTTTAATTAATAGTCTTGATATAAAACGAAACGTATTACAATATCAAAAAGTTAATAATTAAGTTTACTGACAACTGATTAAATAAATTATTTTAGGTAAGTACTATCTTGGAACAAGTATAATAATATTAGTCATATCGTAGGTTTACTAGTATTTATTAATTGTTGATAGCTAATTAATTATGCTGTTTATTTAAAAACGTAAATATTAAAGCAAATAAGTATGTACATACTTAAAAGCATAAGGTCGTTATGGAAATCCTTAACCTATGTCCAGAAGTGGTGGTCAAATGACTGAAACGAAAGATTTACATTATTTTTAGTTACAAAAGAACATCCAGCCATAATTAATGTATGCCATTAATTAGGTACTATCACTATTTGGGTATTAATATCTAAATTAATGCCCATGGGAAATGGGCAACAAAACAATTGAAGCAATTAAAACAGTAACATTAATTAATTAAAACAGTCCACTATAATTTTGTTCACAAAAAACGGACTCCAGCCTAGACACTATTTAGACTTATTTCGATTTTTTTGTTATGAAAATAATAACAAATCCTAAAGCGGATGATGAATAAATTATGATCTGATGTTGGGGAAGATTTTTTCAACTTAGTAAGTATTTTGGGCAATTGACGAAAGTTTAAAGAACGTAAACGGATTATACCCTCTGTGAGAAGCCAGAAGCCACTACATGACAGCTACCACGAGCCGGAAGACAAAGTGTGGGCAGGCCTCCCACTAGGTGGACCGACGATCTGGTGAAGCTCGCGGGAGGTGCCTGGATGCGGGCGGCGGCGCAGGACCGGTTGTCTTTCGGCTGAAACAAACGTGAAGTACAGAGGACACTTCAGTCATTATTTTTGTTGCTATGTTTTTTATCTTGATGTGCCATTGTCTGTAATTAGATTTAGGGCTGATTTTTCAATCGTCGGATAAGTTTTAACTGAAGAATAAGTTTGGCACATTGACAGTTTCAGTATGGGAAATGTGTCAAAATGACAAGTTTATTCTTCAGTTTTAAGTAACATATCTGACGATTGAAAAATCGGCCCTAAGTGTGGCTTGTTGTCATATTTATTAGTAAATGATCATGTGGCTAAATAATGATCATGTGGCTAAATAATAAAATTACTACACTTTTAATGTACTTACTCTGCAAAAATAAATCCAAAGGAATAAGAACTCTTTAACTAAACTAGCTGAAAGAATTTTGTTCGGGGAATCCCGTGCAAGACAGATTTAGATTGTCAACACAGATAAGGAAAAAATAAGCATGTGTGCTTTAATATAAACCCATAATTACTGAGTCTCACACACACACAGTAATTATGGGTATAATCTTTTGTCCACTGATAGGAAAACCTAATAGATAAGGTGTACCCATTCGTAGGTCGATTTGAGGTTTTCGATATATTTTCAGGGTTATAAATAACTCGTAATTACGAAAATATTGTAATAAAAAGCAGGTAAAGCAAACATTTTATAGAGTCGATATTAAAAATTGTTACCTATTACTATCTAAACTGGCCACTTACCTAATAAATAGTTTAATTTCTGATTTAATTTCATAAAATGCATTTATTATCTCGTAGCTTAATGTCACAAACAGATTTTTTCAAAGTTACATTATTAGTTTCTGAAAATGCGAAGATGTGTGGTGTGTACACATGATAGTTTTCAAAGTCTCTTCACAATCTCTTTTTAAAATTAATATAATATTTTTTATGAATTCCACATGATACATCAGGTTCCGTCATGACGGTCATCAACTTCAAAAACATTTCGCTTATTTATTTTGATGCAAAGAGTTTAATTTAAAAAAAGCTAAGTAAATACGAGTAGGCTATGCAAAATGAAAAACAAGAATTTATCTTGTACTATTAAACTGTTACTAGGTCAAAGTTAAACAAATGTAGGTAATCACTCATACCATCCCTATGACACCCACTTAATAACTAAACTACTAATATTTACCCCATGACGTCACCGTTCGTGACGGACACTGTTATCGCCCTGCCTAGATTGCTATACAAAATATAATAATGCATTCGTGTTAATAGTTCAAGTGAAGTCGCTGGGTTTTAGTCGTCGGTTAAATCTGTGACAGTGCGGACGGATCAGCAGTCGCTTCGAAAACTGTTGTGCGTGAGTGTGATTATTTTAAGTGATTTGCCTTTTTAAAAGTAGGTTAAGTTTGTTAATGTATAAGTTGTTAATTGTGGCGTAATAATAATATCATTTGACCGAGGGGTGTTGGCTACCTGTAGGAACAACTGTTGCTCTAGTAAACGGTAGTGAAAGCATATTAAAATATTTTCACATTTTTATAAACTTTCAATGATTTTATAGCATTAAATTTTCTCGTGAGAGTGGGATGTGATGTATTTTTTGTTGAAATATTTTCTACTTTTTGTCTGATTAAAGTTTTTTGTGCAAATAACAATAAAAAAATAGTTGGAAAGAAAACTTTGAGAAAAACACGTTTTGGTCAATTATTAGTTATGTTAGAAATAATTATTGTTTAACGATATTATTTTTTAACCCACTTTTTTCTCGGAAAGGAGTATTTTGTAAACAAATGAACATGAATTCAGTTCGGGGAACTCCCGTAACAAAGCGTTTGATACTTCGCAACGTACCTATTTACTTGCTTCGGAAATATAGCTAAGGTGTAGTTTCGTCGCTTGCCTCTCTAACGGACGTAACTGACATTTTCAGGCGATTAGACAGATCGATTCGTCTTGAAATTAAGATGGTGTAGATAACTTAGTTTCGAAAAAAATGTCAGATAGGTAGGTACGTCAGTTAGAGAGGCAAGCGACGGTTTGTTCGCTTCAGCCAAACTGGACAAAACCAAGGATTTCCATAACGACCGATCTTGCGCTGCCTGCATTCAGGTTGTTTTAAGGATTTTCCACACTGGATGTGTTCTGCGGTCTGCGGTCAGGTCAAAATTAACAAAGCCTGCTTCATGTATGAACAACATCGGTCTCTATACATTTTGTAATGATGCTATAGTGCGGGCATATGCAGAGTACTGACAGGTGTGTTCTGCGTTTATTTGACCAGACTGGAGAACGCATCCAATGCTTCAATGGTTGTGTGTGAATCCAGGTGAAGTTCGCTTCCACCTTCGGCCTTATCATCACTTTCCATCGGGTGAGATGCAGGCCAAGAGTTTCCTCGTAGTGGATAAAAGAAATAAATTGTAACATTTGTGTCTGCAGGTAAAAATGAATCCTTCAGTAGTGCCCGGAGTAGCTCCCGTGGGTCCCAAGCCGGCCCAGCTGACCTGCCCCTCGTGTCATGCGACCGTGGTGTCAAGAGTCGACCACAACAGCACCACCAAGACACATTTGATCGCTTTGGCGCTGTGCCTTTGCTTGTGAGTTGATATTTTCTTGTTATACTGGGTGAAATTGAATCGTGAAAACGGATTAGTCTCATGTTATTTGGGGAATTGACTTTTTAATGTGTAGGTACACATTAATCAGAGTAATAATTTAACTTTATGAATGAACAGAGCGTATTAAATAGCGTCCTGCGTTCCCACTACAATCAACAATAGAAAACAATAGTTATACTGTTCCTTGTATGTGTCGGCGGCTGAGCCCGCCAGTTTTATTTTTAGTCGCAAATACACCTTTAAAGAAATCACATGTTTTACTGTTCCAACCTTCTGACGTGCATTTTGTGGACTTAACTTATAAAGTGGACAACAACAATAATATACCTGAATATAGCTATATTATATAGTATAGTAATATACATATAACGTAAATTGATATTACTACTTATTTTTTACCGATTTTAGATAGTTGTTGTGACATTTCAATTTGAATAATTCAAGACCTAGGTCCATAATTTCCTTGTAGGTTATTAAGAAGCACTGAAATTGGCTCTATGTTGTTTCCAACTCTACATAACATAGGTATACGAAAATGTATACTGATGTGGAACTTATCCACAAGTTTCTGCTAACTGGGTGATTGCTTTGATTGTTGATAATTTTAATGTAATTTTCCAATATTATTATTGCAATAGCTACAATAAGTTACGATTGTTTATTTTTTATGAATGAACTCTCAACGCTATCAAGCGCCTGCGCACTGCCCTTGATCTAAGACATTGACTTGCGCCATCAAGGCCACGTTACTCTTCCTTGTATAGTAAACAGCAGACCAGTTAAAGCAAAATAGCATCTATCACAGCTACTTAAGGTGCTACAGTGTCTACTTAGATGTGCCGTCGCTGATACTTTATAGCAATTACGCTACCTACTATAGCCTTACTAACATGAATGACTAATCTCGCTCTAAGTGTGAATTGATTTTAGTTCCTTGTACAAGAGTTATGAAGTCTAAGGCTGAGTTGCACCAACTTACTATGAAAGACGTTGGTACTATCGGGGACTCTTCCGCCTGACCACTTTGTAGAAATTTTAGCGTAAGCGCATCGCTCCGGTCACGTGCTCACCCCGTCTCTAATTGGTTACGCATTTTACTATATTTTTACTACGACCAATAAGAGACAATCAGGGCTTAGGTTGCAATACGAAATACCATTGTGCACTTTATTGTCATACGGTTAGGGTTTAAAACGAAATGTTTCTTTTTCTTCAATCTTTCTTAGTTTTAGGCTGAGTTGCACCACCTAACTTTGACCGTAGCTATAACGGTAACCGGTGCTTTTTGTATGGAGTTTGACAGAATTTTGACGTTTGTTAAAGTTAAAGTAAGATGGTGCAACTCAGCCTTAGAATTTTAATAATAGAATTTGGTTACAAACAAATAGATATGTATTTTTTTTTATAGTGTGTTTTTATACGAGGTCTGTATGCTTTTTGCTTTGGCGATCTGTTGACATATTCTCTCCTTTGTTTTTTTGTGAAGTTTCGTGATCAATAACCGATTGATTTGTGTTGACCCGTGCTAGTAATTGGACTGTTTGATTGCCTTTTTATTGACCTCCGCTCGATTACTGAACCATGCCTCTCAAAATAATTCTTATATTTACTTACAAACTTATCTATACATTGTTAACTGTTTAAGTATTATTTAGTTTGAAGTTTAATTGTTATTGATTTAAGACCTTGTGTAAAGACACTTAATGTGCAATAAAAAATTGAATTTGAAATAAAACTAACTTAATATTATAATATTTACGATAACCAATTACCTGGATCATTGCTACCTAGTGCAATATTGATATTAAATTTTAATAACGTAGATAAGTGTTTCTTTAAAACGGAAAACAAAATATGCATTAAAAATAAATAGAAACCTATTATAAGTTTTTATTTACATTCAAGGATTTAAGAAAGTTTTAGCCAGATCTTACAATAATTGTTTTTAAGCCACAAATATTCCTTAACTCTTTATCAATTAATTCAATAACATATTGTTTTAAATTATAAGTTCCGAATAAATTAAATACCTATTAAATAAGTAAAATTCTTAAGTAACTGTATGATTTTGTATTTCTCACCCTAACTAGCTAAACTAATATCATGAGATTTACACTCATAATATCAACAATAATTGTAGAAAGGGCTACTTTTTTCTCGGGAAATTGCATAGTTACCTCGGAATGTGCGATAGCAATTTTGTGACCCGAGCGGGCAATCGCTAGTTCAAATTTTACACGAAGTCTCATATAATATTTTGTAGTTTCAAATTGACTAAAATGCGACGTTGCCAAACGAGCGCTACGGATGCGGGTAATAAGCAATACTCAATCCTAAATGCTTTACATAGAGCTTGGTTTGCTAGGGCAAACATCTACAGTGATGCGCCGACGCTGCTTAGACCCGAAACATGAATGAACGGGGGCGGAGTTTAATCGAGCGTGTGTGTGCAAACAATTTAGGCCCTTAAGGTGTCAAGGCGTTCGAGTCCCCGATAGTACATACATCTAGCTTGACTTTGTCGATGTAGAGTCATTTACTAGACTAGTCGTCACTAAGACCACAGAAATAAATATGATATTAGTTAAAACCTTTATTCTTTTTACAAAAATAAATATTACCGCTCTGTTACCTATCTGAAATGTTGCGTCACTAAATAATAATTATAATGTTAATTAATCACACCTAATTAATTTCAGGTGTTGGTGCTGCGTGTGCGTCCCATACTGCATGGATTCCTGTCAGAACGCGGACCACTACTGTCCCAATTGTAACGCTTACCTTGGCACGTACCAGAGCTAAATTTTATGACCATGACCTAATTTTAAGATCTATAATATTCATTACCCGACTGCGGAAGGAAGGTTATGTTTTTAAGTGTGTGTACGCGCACGCTCTGCAGCCTAAACAGCGTGATTGTTACGCCCGTATTCACAAACGATGCTTGCTTAAGTGAAGCAGCAAATCGAACGCACAGCGTTTAATACAGCTCTTTGATTACTTCGTGTGTCACCCTGTGCATCCACCACGCGCACTGCGAGACCTCATAGTAACGTTTGATATTCGTATCAACTGTGAGAGTGACACTGGATATATCTAAAATATTTTCCAGTTCACTTAATAATTAGGTGATTTTACAGTTTTTCAGTTTACGCAGTCGGGTTTTTTCATTCAATTTAGCTTGTTTTAAGACCTTTAGTATTACTTTGATCATCACTATTTTATACTTTACCTAATATTAGAAAAAGCAGTTTTAAGTAAGCGCGGTTTACACGATCAATGCAAAATGTACTCTACTGTCTGATAACACTTAAATAGATAATTTTAATGACGTCACATAGTTGAGTTCACGCCTGTTTGGTACAAAACGGGCGAGTAACTAAATTGCTATGTAATTATTTATTTCCTGTAATGTGTTCGTTCATGTCCATTGTCCATTGTTGTCAGATGTTGATAGCAAGTGGACGTCGTTATAATCTTTGCTCTGTAGTCATAGGATGCGAGTAACAATAAAGTTTTTGCAAGGAATTTTGAGGATTTTTAAAGCCTATACAGTTGTCGTTTAAAACCATCGATATGATTTGGTATTATGGCGCGCACTTCCCGGTAGATCTTCAGTCTAATTTTGCATTAAGTTCGATCCGAATCTGAAAAAAAAGTCTTAGACCCTTTTGTAAGATAGTTTACGTACTAGATTCGATTTCCCTAGTTAGTTTTCTACACGGATTTGGATCGGACGTAGTGCGAAATCACTATAAAAAGCTACGAAGGCTGAAAACCAGGATTATTAAAGAGTTTTAAACCGCTGTATCTTTTCGACGGATTACTACTGTTCGTTTTTTGAGATTATGATAAAAATGGAAGAGAGATTTGTTGCATTTATTTTAGCTTTTGTATAAATAACTTTGTAAGTACTATTTCATAGATAAAACGTATTGTTATCAATATTACGCTTTTAAGTCCCTAAGCTATGAAAATATTTAATGTGATAAGAATGCCTTATATTTTTTGGATGGTTATCACGCACGTTTAATTGTATATTATTGGAATATTATACAGTTATACAGGGTGTGCTTTTGTAAAATAACGCCCATCTCAGGGGTGGTAGATATGTCGCAGGCAAATTGTATGATTCCGCATTTTACAAACGGCGTCGTCAGTTCACAAACGCTCGCTGTTCTATGAAATGCCGAAGGCAAAATGTAAATTGCCTTGGCACTTTATAATATGCCACAAAATTTGATAGCCAATTCAATCGCCGTTTACAAAATGCCGCGGCAAATTGAAGAATTTAGTTCTTTTTCTTACCACGCGAGGCGCTGCCAATCAAAACAAGAAAAATGGCGTCGAGTAGTGGTGTTGTGATACTGAAAAATATTGAAAACAGTGCAAATTCTACGTATTCAAAGGACTTTTCACAAAAAACTATTGTTTTAAAGACATTTATTTTACGATTCAAAAATTGGAGCAGTGAAAAAGCCGTAGACAAATGAAAAAGTTTTTGAGGTTATCAGGCATGTAAAAAACGCTAAGGTGACAATGGGATCTGGTGCTCGGAGGACTGCTGCGGAATATTATAAATATGGTATAAAAAATATGATGTATGAGTATTGGCGATGTGGACTATCTTATTCTGAAAAAAGACAGCCCTGAGAGCCCAACGGAAAACATACCTATGGAAGACTATTATGATATGTGAACGCTAAAGTGTAACCTTGCTGGTGACCAAATAAATAAATATTGTTAGATATTAATAGGGACAGTAGTAGAGACAAAATTCAGTACCAAATTAAAGATCGATATTGTCTATTTAAATAGAATTTGAATTACTGATATAAGGTCCGATTTTTCTACATGTGTTTTATGATGGTCACCCTATTGCAACAATAATGTCGAAATTTTATCAATTGAACGAGTCGCCAATTTGCCTTCGGCATTTCACAGAACAGCGAGCGTTTGTAAACTGACGACGCCGTTTTTAAAATGCGGAATCATACAATTTGCCTGCGACAGATACACGACACTGATGACAAAAAAAAATATTTTTTATTTTTATTTTTATGGAAAAATCCATGAAATCAGAAAAATGGTATTATTACACGGGCGAGCTATAGGACAGACCCCCCGCTCTCCCGGGGTGGTGGCCGCATGTGCTCGGTGGTTTAGCGGGGTACGCGGGGGTGGTGCGGGCGGTAACAAGCGCCGTCTCGAAAGTTTAAGAAGGTTTTTTTACTATTAAAGTAATAGTTAAAATTCTATTTATATTTTTCTTGTAATTACCTACTTTCATGTGTACTACCACCCCTGAGATGGGCGTTGTTTTACAAAACCACACCCTGTATACAGTGTAAACTGTATACTGATAACTGTAATAACGTTACTCGATTTAACGACAAACTCCGTATAACGTCAAATTTATTGGCAATTTTTAGGGTTCCGTAGCCAAATTGCAAAAAACGGAACCCTTATTGGTTAACTTGTTCTCTATCCGTTTTACCATTTAACAACCACGCTCTATAACATAACGTCGAAAGATGCTCAGTGCCTTGAGTGTTATTATTGTATAGAGTTTACATTGCATTTATAGGTAAGTGAAATGTTCCTCGACAAATTGTATTTCTACTACACTTATTCAAAATAAATATTATAATTAAAATAAATTACTTTTCTTTGTTTCGCTATCCTTGCTTATTCATATTGCATCATAGAACTTATTTTGTTCGATTCATCATCATTTCAGCCACAGGACGTCCACTGCTGAACATAGGCCTCGCCCAATGACTTCCACATCGCACGTTTGGTAGCGGCCTGCATCCAGCGCCTTCCTGCTACCTTTATCAGGTCGTCGGTCCACCTTGTGGGTGGACGTCCCGTTTGTTCGATTATTATTAATTACTAGCTTTCCGCCCGCGGCTTCTGTCACAGAAAAATTTTATTGCGCGCGTCCCAATTTCAAAAACCGGGATAAAAACTATCCTATGTCCTTTACCGGGACTCGAAACTATCTCTATGCCAAATTTCATCAAAATCGGTTCAGTGGTTTAAGCGTGAAAGCGAGACAGTTACTTTCGCATTTATAATATTAGTATATTATTATATTTATTTGGTTTTCCTGCTGATAAAACAATCAGTATCATTTAATTTAGCATTTTAAACTTTTCCTCATAATATCAGGTTAAAATTAATGTAAAATACTTATTTTGCGATAAAATAATATTTAATCACCTACCTAGCTGAATATCGTTTAGTACAGTAAAGAGTCGTAAGTATATCTAATTATTTATTTAAAACCTTTTATTGAAGTCCATAAAGTTTAAAAAAAAATTGTCATTTTGTTATAATTTGGCGTGCGATGCCTTAGGTACGTAAAATCGATATATAGGATAACTAAATTGAAGTAGGTACCCAACCTAGTTTACTTTTATCTTTCATCATCATCATTTCAGCCAAATGACGTCCACTGCTGGACAAAGGCCTCCCCCAAGGTTTTCCATAATGAACGGTCCTGCGCTGCCCGCATCCAGGCTCTTCCCGCGACCTTTACTAGATCGTCGGTCCACCTAGTAGGAGGCCTGCCCACGCTACGTCTTCCAGCCCGTGGTCGCCACTCGAGAACTTTCCTGCCCCAACGGCCATCGTCTCTACGAGCTATGTGCCCCGCCCACTGCCACTTGATTTTAGCAATTCTGCGAGCTATGTCGGTTACTTTGGTTCTCCTGCGGATCTCCTCATTTCTGATTCGATCACGCAGGGAAACTCCGAGCATAGCCCTTTTATCTTTATACCTACCGAATTCACCAGATCGTCGGTACACCTAGTGGAAGGCCTGTCCACTAGGGTGGAGCGAAAAATTTTTTTTTACATTTGCGTTTGTGAATACCTCTTAAAAGTTGCATCTTGTTGCCACGGTTACGAGAAAAATAAATAAAAAAATATTGAGACCATTTTTTAGCCCTCTACTGGCTTTTGAATATTTCATAAAAATGAAAAAATAGGACTTTATTGCAAAAATCATAAATTACCTTAGAATAGTTTTTATTTGATAAATAATATATTTTTGTAACTTTAAATATAATATACATCGTAAAAAATAATTGTATAACATTATAAGCTTGTCATAAACTTAAAAAAATACATTATTAAAAGCGCCGATTATAAGCTAAACTCACAGTCAGCGCATAACTTTGCCACTTGAACTGTTAACATCAGAATTAGTCCAGTTACCTATTTTCTTCTTTCTATCTTTGTCTTGTCTTTATCTTTAGTTAACTGATATTAATCAAGTAGATAGTTCGTAATTGCGTTATCTAATTTTATTGTTCCAAAGTCAAAATAAAATCGAAATTAAGCACTCGTAGTGACCTATTTTAGGATCTCCTTATTTGTTTTGTACCTTAATCAGTGTTACAACTGACACCTGTTTTTTTTTAATTAGATAGAGTGAATCAAGAGAAAGGTTTTTAAGTATAATACATTACATTGTACCTATGCGAAGCAGGGGCGGGGTCGCTAATCGGAAATAAAATAAAAAAGGTAAACAGCCCGTTGTATTTATCAAATTTAGTCGAAACTAAGAGGAAAACTTCTTAGCCTGTTGTTACGATACAACGAATAAAACAATTGTTAAAGTGTTGTTCTAATAAGTATTCACATTTCATTCGCTTTCCATAACCAAAACAATCAGATAACTTCAACGCTAAACTACAGCAATGGAAAAAATGCATACAAGAACTATTAGAAAGTTTTCTTACAAATCTAGTAATTTGAGCACTTGTAATTGTCCAAAAGTTGAGAAGTAACATTATTAGTAAGAGCGTTTTCACTAGATCAGAAACGTTATAGAAAAATACCAACAGGAGATTTAGACCAGATCAAGCAATGCAAGACTGAAATTGATTACATTATGGTCTTAGTAAGTCTTTGGAATCAAATGTTAAGAAAATTATTAAACGAGCTATTCAAAGAGTCACGTTTTTTGCACACCCTAAGCATCTTTTGTTAGCTTTGATGTACTATGAAAAACAATTATGTATATCAGAGAGCTTGAGACAAATAATGGCAGCAAGAAAAGACAACAAAGTACCTGGAGTATTAGAGCATTCAAAAATCCGAATTTATCCTTTCATTGATATGAATTAATTTTAAAATAGTGAATGTTTCTAAAGCAAAAAATAGATTTAGAAACAATTTAATGAGCAATATTATGACATCTTTCAATACCAATAGAATTGCAATGTTCTAAATAAAATTAAAAAAAAAACTAAATTTTGTGATATTTCCATTTATTTTTTCAATTATTTCTAGTAGTGATTTTTCGAATTAAACTTTTTTATTCATAAAATTTATTTTCTATTTACAAAACACCTTTAAATTAATTATATTTTCATTGTTCTGTTTAATAATACAAACATTTTAGAAAATAGCCATACAATAAAAAATGATTAAATGAAAACTACGGTAGAGGGCTAAAAAATACATTTTAAAAATAAAATAAAAATATCCTTGTTATTATCTTGCTCTCATGCAACTTTTAGCAGGTATTCAAGTTCGTTTACGTAACTTTTTTTTTTAACCATACAATGACGCTCCACCCTACTGTCCACGCTACGTCGTGAACTTTTCTGTCTCAACGGTTGAAACGAACCT